AGTAAAACACCAGTTGAACATATTCTTTTAATGCAGTTGAACATATGCATAGTAAACTATTTTTTTGACATGCTTATTTTGGATTTATAACAGTTGCTCAAACTCTAAGAACACAATATATAGAGAATTAACTGTCTTTCTTTGTGAGAATTTGATATAATGTCTGGTCTTTTGCCAGGTGTCATTTTCCACCCTTCGCAAGGACTCACTCAATGTTCTAGATTTCATAGAGAGCTTAAAGAATAAAGAAATTCAAAAAGTTGTTGACGCAGATCTAATTGAAAAGCTGATATTGGAGTTTGACTTCCTCCTCCTGAATCTCCATCATCTTTCCAAGTATCATGTTAATCAACTTTCTTCATTCATGACCGAATATGAGATTCTTCAGAATGTTTGTGGCAACATAAGGCATTTCCACGAGTTGATAGTGAATGGTTGCGTTGGGCATGAGATTGCTGAATATGTCTTACCTCAGTTTCAACTAATGGCTGAGAGAGTAGGACGCTTCCTATGGAAAAATCAAATTGGTGGACACTCTCGACTCTACAAGCTAGCACATCTATTCTTGGAGATTATTCCAACTCAGTTGGAGGTTATGCACATATGTCATACAAATTTGAAAGCTTCAACATCAGCAGAAGTTGGACGCTTTATTAAGCAGCTCCTAGAAACCTCTCCGGATATTCTTAGAGAATATCTAATTCATCTACAAGAGCACATGATAAATGTTATTACTGCTAGCACTCCAGCGGCCCGAAACATTCATATCATGATAGAGTTCCTATTAATCATTCTTACTGATGTGCCTAAGGACTTTTTTCATAATGGCAAGTTGTTTAAATTCCTAGCACGTATCGGAGCACTTACCAGGGACGTATCAGCTATGGCTCGCAACTTAGAAGAGAAATCAAAGAATGCAGAGAGTACCAATGAAACAAACAGTGCAACTCTAGGCTTGCTCGAAAATATTGAAGTCCTGAGGAGAGAACTCAAAAATGTTTACCTGAAAACCCCAGACTCATCTCAACTCTGCTTTCCCATGAG